AAGGGGACTAAATGTGTATGTTCTACTGGTCATACGATATACCCATCAATTGTATATGTGAAACTAACAGCTCTATATGTAAAAAGTTTTAAGAGTCTGATATTTGGATCATTTCTTTTAACCTATTTTATCTTTTACTAATGTGTACACCATAATAAAGGAGCTGCGGTGGCTCAAGTGGTTAAGACGCTGAACTGCAGGCTGTGGAAGGTCGGTAGTTCGGCAGTTCGAGACCCGAGTGTGCCGCATGATGGAGTGAGCTTCCGTCTCTAGTTCCAGCTCCTGCCAACCTAGAAGTTCGAAAGCAAGAAATTGCAAGTAGATAAATAGGTACCACTTCGGTGGGAAGGTAACAGCGTTCCATGCGCCTTGGTGTTTAGTCATGCCGGCCACATGACCACGGAAACGTCTTCGGACAGCGCTGGCTCTTCAGCTTGGAAACGGAGATGAGCACCGCAACCCTAGAGTCGGATTTAACTGGCTTTCGAGCAAGGGAACCTTTACCTTTTACATAATAACTTATTTTGCTAGCTTGACCCTCATATATCTCAGCTATCACCTCCTGCTGCGCTGCCATTGGCTGGGTCTGACCCAAGCAGTCCCTATGTCATCACCACCACCACTGCTGAATTGGTTTGAGCCAAATGGCCCTTATAGGAGCTTCTCAGTTTGGCTCGTTCCTAGGCCTTTTTAACAGCCCAGTCTGCCCAAATGGCTTTGCAACTTCATAATGTAGCCAGATCTAACTGGCTGTTATGGCACCGTGAACTCATGGATCTGTACCCCACCACTCCAGTGAGCCAGTTCTCCCAGCTTTAATGGCTCTTCAGTTGGAGAAAAAGCCACTTAAGTTGGAGGAATGCTCCTTAGGCTGGAGGAACTTCCTCCAGCTTAAAGCAGGGACTGCCCCTTTGCATTTATTATGGTATCACACCAAGATTGCTCAGGGGGAAAGGACAGCCAGAGGTAGCCAATTTGCCAGGAGGAAAAGGTCCTGTGTTTTAAATAGAAGCTTAATGGGTGGAAATGGGCAGCTCAAACTTTTTTATGGCACGGAGATCAATCACATCACCTGCTAAATACCATCTCATTAAGCCTCCATTCAAGGCAGGCCATTTTATTTTGTGGTTTTTTTGCTCCAGGCTCTGAGGAGGGGTGGCTTTGGAGAAGCAAGAGAGAAGGGAACCCAGGGCTGTGATCAGCCAGAAAAAAAGAGATGTAAATAACACTGTGAATGGGTTTTTGTGGAATGGGAAAATGATGAGACCTCTTTCATGCAAACATGTTCATGGGTGAATTATTCTTTACAACCCTACTAAATATATGTATATCTGTGCTATAAAATAACATGTGTGAAATGCTGACTCCCACACAGAACTCCCGCAAACCTCAAGATGAAAAATAAAGATTCTAGTTACTGGACAACTTCAGATCTATTGTTTGGAGGAGGGATCTATCGTTTGGAGGAGAACTTTGGTGGAGTTGGGGCCCTTTACTTGAAGAGTGAAATGTGCTAAGATGATTTTAATCTGGAAATATTTCAGATTCCAAGAGAATGACTGGTTTCTTGGCTCCACCCATCATTACAGCAGTCCCTTTCTGGATATATAAACATCAATGTCCATGTGATTCATTTCCATCCCTTGGTGACTACAAGGCAGAATTCCATGCCACCACCAACCTCTTCTCTGGTCTGATTATGGAAAGTACACAAACGTTGCCGGAACTCTTCACCGCACCATTTGTTAAGGCTGTCGCATGTGAATTTGTAGCCACCGTGATCTTCATCTTCGTTGCTCTGGGTGCAGCCTTCAACTGGCCCTCAGGACAGCCCAGCGTCCTCCAGATCGCATTGGCTTTTGGTCTAACTGTTGCTACCTTAATTCAAGCATTTGGTCACATCAGCGGCACGCATGTGAACCCGGCGGTAACCATTGCCTTCTTTGTAGGGAACCAAATTTCCATCTTCCGTCTGCTGTTCTACGTGGCCTTACAGTTGATGGGAGCTGTTGTTGGCGCAGGGCTGGTCTATTCATTGACACCAAACAAGGTCCGTGGAACATTAGCCCTCAATGACGTAAGTCCTTTGATTTGCCATGGAAATGGCTACTCTGTTGTAACCTTGAATGAGTAACTCCTTGTCTCTAGAGTTGAGCAAATGAATGATCAACAAAAACAGCTATAGAAGTGGCTGTTCTGTAAGCGCTGGTGCTAAGTGGTGGTGGTTCCTGGACAGCAATGTGGAGCACATGCTTCATCAACGTTGCGTAGGAGATTGAAATGGGACCTTGACAAATGTTTCCTTGATAAATTGACTGCAGACTGGTAATTTATGCAGTGGTTTGTGCATTTTGGGCTAATGTTATCACTTTGGACCTATGTTTTATCAGGATTCTATTTAACCCAATCCTGTATGGAGAAAAGTGACTTTTGGGAGGGAGATTTGCAGTGGGAAAGCAGCCCTGTAGGATTGAATCAATCAGTTCCTCCCTTTGTACCATTTCTCTGCTAAAATGTACTTGCTCATGCAACTGTTTTTCCCAGATAGAATAGACCATCCAGAGAGGTTGTTACATGTGTTTACTTCTTGCTGGACCTGAGATGGCTTTTTAAAAGGACGGGGCAACTTCAAAAAGCATTTTTATTTATTGACTCACTTGGTTTACAGTCTGCATTTCTCCCAGAGACTCAAGGTAGATAACAAAAATACAACAACAAATACAATTAAAAACCATCTACAAACATTCAGCAGACATTAAAAGCTGAACAATGTCACTTTTATAGAAATGCTCTCCTGAAAAGTTCCATTTATGCACACTCCGAGAAACAGCACCAGCATGGGAACTTTCTTCATGGAGCAGGTTCCCACTCAGTAGGGACCACAAAGTAGTCTGAATAGCCCTGAATAGCCCCGAGCTTGTCATAGTTTGGGAGGTAAGCTGGGTTGGTCATGGTCAGTACTTAAATGGGAGACCACCAAGGAAGACTTAGGTTGCTATGCAGAGGAAGGTAATGGCAAACTACCTCTGCTCTCATCTCTTGCCCTGAAACTCCATGAAGGGTCACCATGAGTTGCTCAAAAATCATGGGATAAAAGGACAAGTCCTTTTATGGATCAAAAACTGGCTAATTAATAGAAAACAGAGAGTGAGTATAAATGGGCAGTTCTCTCAGTGGAGGGGGGTAAGCAGTGGGATATCGCAGGGATCAGTACTTGGTCCACTGCTTTTTAACTTGTTCATTAATGATTTGGAGTTGAGAGTAAGCAGTGTTGATGGGGTCTGAACTGGCAGAGACTGATCAAGCGAGAGATCTTGTAGTAGATAACTCACTGAAAATGTCGAGACAGTGTGTGACTGCAATAAAGAAGGCCAATGCTATGCTGGGGGTTATTAGGAAGGGTATTGAAAACAGATCAGCCAATATCATAATGCCCCTATATAAATCAATGGTGTGACCTCATTTGGAATACTGTGTGCAGTTCTGGTCACCACACCTTAAAAAGGATGTTATAGCTTTGGAAAAAGTGCAGAAAAGGGCAACTCGAATGATAAAGGGGTTGGAACACTTTCCCTATGAGGAAAGGTTAAGGCACTTAGGGCTCTTTAGCTTGGAGAAATGACGACTGAGGGGTGACATGACTGAGGTTTATAAGATTATGCATGGGAAAGAGCAGGTAGAGAAAGAGGTACTTTTCTCCCTTTCTCACAATACAAGAACTCGTGGGCACTCCATGAAATTGCTGAGCGGTCGGGTTAGAACGGATAAAAGGAAGTACTTCTTCCTTTTATCCGTTCTAACTTGCTACAAGCATGGACGGCTTCAAAAGGGAATTAGATAAGCATATGGTCCATCAGTGGCTATTAGCCACGAGGTATAGATAGGGACTCTGGGGCAAGTGATGCTCTGTCATCTTGGTGCTAGGGGGGGTCAACAGTGGGAGGGCTTCTAATGTCCTGGCCCCACTGGTGGACCTCCTGATGGCACTGGTATTTCTGGCCACTGTGTGATACAGAGTGTTGGACTGGATGGGCCTTTGGCCTGATCCAACATTGGCATCATGTTCTCTTATGGTTGCAACTTGAGGGCTATTATTATAATTACTACTACTACTACTACTACAATACAGTGCTTGAGTATAGGTTACCCATTTGCAGGGAGGCACCTTTAGAAGGCCTTGTTCAGATGAATGAATTTGTCACAGCAGAGCATATCAGGAGAGGCAGACCTGCAAATATGTGGGTCTCAGGCTATGCAAGACCTTATAGGTAAAAACCAGCACCATAAATTGAACACAGAAATGTATCAGTAACCAAAGGAGTTACTTCAGAATAAGAGTAATATGCTCACCCTGCCTCGCTTCTGATCATAATTAAGTCATGGCACTCCATACAAGCTGAAGTTTCCAAGCTGTCTTCAAGGGCGTCCCCATGTCTATCAAGGGTTACTGACCACAGTAGCTAAATGGAACCTCCAAGTTCAAAAGAAGGTTACTTACGAATACCAGATCCTAAGGATGGACCACAGACAACAGCTGTCATAGACCCAGCTTGAAAGCTTCCCAGAGGCATGGCCAGTGCTGCCAACATTGTGCTGAACCATTGGTCAGATCCAGCCGGGCTGTTCTTATGTCCTTAGCTCACAACTGACCCAGATAGTGAGACAATCATGGCTGTTAGTCTGTTCTGAGCAGTGTTTTCCCTTCCAGTGTCATTTGACTCCTCCAGGAGTGGTGCTGTTCATCCTTCTGATGCCAAATGGAGCAACATCAGCACAAGCCCTGCAGAAGCCAAATAATGACAGAGAGGCAAGGGTGTCACCCAACCTGTTTATTTGTTCCCCTAAGCTTTCTAATGAGCATGTTTTTCCCTTCCCCGTCAGATGGCGGGATAGAGGTCGATCAAGTGAATACAGAAGATTGGGCAGAATACAGAAAACAGAGACCTAATACATTTCTTTCCTTACTTCATCAGTAATTCCTAGTTTTGAGCATCAGGGGGCTGGTCTGGATGATAAGACTGATCTATGCACCGTGGAAGGGGGAGGGTGCATCTTAGATCTCAGCCCACTTGGTTTTCCAGCCCACATCCAGTACCAACAGACATTCACACATTGGATGCCAGCAGGCATCCACACACAAAGTGAGATCGTTACACAGGCTCCGTTATGCACAGCTGAGCTGCCAGGTTAAATTGGATGGTCTGACAATGGGTCGATGACTTCTGGCATGCAGTAGTGGT